ATTTATTTGACAGAGAGAGACACAGCGAGAGAGGGAACACAAGCAGGGGGAGTGGTCGAGGGAGAAGCAGGCTTCCTGCGGAGCAGGGGGCCCGATGTGGGGCTCGATCCCAGGACCCTGGGATCATGACCTGAGCTGAAGGCAGATGCTTAACGACTGAGCCACCCAGGCGCCTGGGGAAAGAGAGTCTTAAGCAGACCCCCCCACTGAGCATGGAGCCCAACGTGGGGCTTGATCTCACGACCTGAGTCGAACCAAGAGTTGGACCCCTAACCAGCTGTACCACCCAGGCACCCCTCTCTAATTTTTAGTTTTAGAGCTGGTCTGCCTTGCATTTAAGACCTAAGAGTAGTTCCCAGTGGGTTCTTTCAGCAATATGAAATTGCGCCCGTTTTTACCGCCTAAAATAACTGTTTCTTTTAAGCCATGGGTTTTGTTGTTTCATTCAGAGGTGTCACCCTACAAGACTATAAGTTCCCCAAATAGAGGGGTTGTATATGTTGTGATCATCATTGTATCTTTTGGCACTTTGCATGGTGCTTATAACATAAATATTTGCTCAGTGACTTCTAGTAGTGGCTTTGTCTTTACGATATCATGTGTTTCCAAATGTTCCTGTGTAAAGGAATTCTCTTAACTATTGCTTACTTCGTATGACCTCATATTTGTTCTGCTGCCCAGTTATTCTCAGCAGATTTAGATTTCATTTAGCAATTTTTTTTTTTTTTATCACTGACTATTACCAGACTCTGTTCTGGGCACTGGGGATGTAGCAATAGACATTGGTTAAAAAGTTCTATCCAGTGGAGTGTCCATTTTAGTAGAATGGCTGGAAAGATTCGTCACAGCATTGTCATGGTTATTTCTCATCTCCTAACTTTTCTTATGTGACTAAGTGTTTTTCTTACAGGACAAATTGCTAATTTAGAAGCGGCTGTCATTCTTTTGTCATTAAGTAATACCACATTTCTCAATCAACTCAGTCTCTATTAAGCAACTCCAAATATTCCAAAAGTATTCCCTAAGGAAGAACAAATTCATATTGCAAAACAGTGTTTTTCAAAAATTTAAAGAAGTAAAGTGATCAAAATTCATTTATGTCACACTGAGAATTTGTTTTTATTATTAAATTATGTCATGTATTTTAGTCCGGTCTAGCTTGTGTCTCTCTGGTTGCTTCCCTAAGTGCTCAGTTAACAGTTATAGAAGGCAGCGACATTACAAATGTCCTTTTAGAAAAACAAAACTTTGCTTGGGGCGCCTGGGTGGCTCAGTCGGTTAAGCGACTGCCTTCGGCTCAGGTCATGACCCTGGAGTCCCTGGATCGAGTCCCGCATTGGGCTCCCTGCTCAGTGGGGAGTCTGCTTCTCCCTCTGACCTTCCCCCTCTCATGCTCTCTCATTCTCTCTCTCAAATAAATAAAATCTTTAAAAAAAAAAAAGAAAAACAAAACTTTGCAAAAGATTCTAAAAAGGTTAATTTAGTAGGTATTGGTGGTTTTCCAGCACCTGTGATTATATTTTAGTTACAAGACAACTTTCCTATGTCTGTTGAAATATAATTTCTGGTAGCATCATAATGGTTTTTACCATGTGGAGAATCTTGGGAATTCGGTAGCAGTCACCATTAAGATAGAGCTCAATACTCAGTTTCTGACTCATTGAATTTTCTGGTTACCTGAGTCTTATCTTGCATGGATAATCATTTTTCAAGATATGAGAGAATATGATTTAGACCATTAAAAGATGATGACGATTATTATCACCTAGCATTTCTCAGAGGCTTATCATATGCAAGGATTGTGTTCACTTTACAGGCATTCTCATGTACCTGTAATCCTGTGATACAGTTAGTGTTATTATCCTCATTTTATAGATGATGAAACTGGGTCTTAGTAGAGAGACTAAGTGAATTGACCAATGTCACATGGCTGGTGCAGCTGAGATTAAAATTTACAAAGACTCTGAGACCAGAGCCACCACTCTTAACCACCTCACGGTACAGCCTCAAGAATTTGAACGTAATTTAGTCTGGTAACTTTAAAATGCAGTGTAGATTTTACAGTGCATCAGGATCATGGGTTAATCAGTGTGTGCACCCTAACCCTTAAAATAAAAATGATAATTTAAGCTTCATGGTTGTTTGGTATGGTCCCACTCATTTGCGTTATTTTTATGCTTAATACATTAGACAGAATACTTCAGGGACTAATTACTGTTTTCCTTTTTTCCTCTTTGACAGCATTGGATTCAAAGGCTAACAATCTGTCCAGTCTGTCCAAGAAATACCGCCAGGACGCGAAGTACTTGAACATGCGTTCCACTTACGCCAAACTTGCAGCGGTTGCTGTGTTTTTCATCATGTTAATAGTGTATGTGCGATTCTGGTGGCTGTGAAGTAGTGAATCCAGTCACTGGCAAGGGTGAACCTAGAGCTCGGCAGGTGTATGTTTTCAGGAAACTGAGCTCACAGAGATGTGTATTAGAGTTCCAAGTGGAACTTCTGCTTCTAAAGACCTTGCAAGAAAAGACATGTCCTGAAAATGAAATGTTACACCTCATTTGATGAAGCTTACGCCTTTGTAGAAAGTCTCTTTTGGGGGCAGAGGCTTTCTCTGGGTGCTGAGCTGTATACGTTAGGGAACAGTAGATTGTTTTATTTTGTTTTTTCCCTCCCAGTGTTTTTACATTTTTAAAACAGCACTGAGTGGGGCATTTCCTTTCTCTAATGGAGCCATCAGTGAGATCTGGCTTAGCCAACCTGTGCTAGCAACAGTCTGAAATTCCTTCAGAGAAGGCAGCCCGTTGGGAAGTTTTTTCACTCTAATCAACATTCCTTTTGTTGGTGACATTTGTGATTTTCAGTTTTTGATGGCCTTGTAAACAAGACTCCACTATGTGAAGGTTAATTGCTGTGCTGTAAAGATGTTGTCTGTTGGCCCCTGTAGGAAGTTGACCTTTGTTGTTTTCATTTTATGATATTTTGCTTATTGCACAACTGCTTTAGGGTTAAATGAATTATATTAAGATGCCTTGAAATTATATTATAGCACTCCTTGATTAAGAAGCTAAAGTGTTTTCTGTCATTTTCTCCTTAAAAGACTTAAATTTAGTTTGGGACATTCTTAATTTTATCTTTCAGCATCCAGTTTGTATTAATAGAAGAGTAAGTATAGCATACAGATAGCCAGAGTCCCCTGACTTAATGGGAAGAAAGGCCCAGCCCATCACTACAGCTTTGTCCTGCCCCTTCTTACTTTCTCCACTGTAGTTTTCCCCACTCTCTTTTCCTCCTGCTGAAATTTTAAAACTTCTCTGCACCCAGTAGTTTCATGTCCATAAGCATCCTCTCAGGATATTCTTGAATTTCAAAATGGAAAATGTTTAGCTGTGTAGTTAGATTTAAATTTTTACAGAGCAACTACTCAAACTACTAAATACATTTATCTGAATAAGTCTCTGAGAACACCTTGTACCTGCTTCAGTTTATGTAAATTCTCTGAGAATGTTCTGGAGTTAGATAACTCATTTAAGTGGCTTCTATTAACAAATAAAAGTACCTGTTATTTTTCCCTTTTTTGCTCAGGGATGATGGGGATTTCCTTTTACCTTCTGAGGTAGAATTTTTTAAATGGGGAGACTAGACCTCTTAAATATTATCACAAGGATCTACAATATAAACTAGAATTTACACATACTGCAAATATTTCTTTAAGTCCTATAGGAAAATGAGCCAGCTTCTTACTTCTTAACATGTTTGGAGAGAACTTTAACTAGTAAACAATTTTATAACTAAGGGATCATCAAAGCTTCTGTCCTGATTCCTGATAGAGAAAAAAAATCCTATTTCCTAATAACAAAGCAAGGAGAAGTGGCTTATTTTGTTCCTGATAAATTACAGAACTAGGATAAATTTTTTTTCTTTCCATTTTGGACCTAAGTCTGCCAACTGGAGTATGTGCATGAAATATGAAGTTACTTTTTATAGAGAATAAGTGCTTTTAAGTCCCTAAAAGGCTTGTCCCTAGAGTAATGATATTGGTAATAAAAGCCTGAAAGTCTGAAAACCTTAGTGGTACCATAACATTTGGTTCTTCTATAGGAGTGGAGAGTGGCAGCTCGTTGTTGAGAGTTGCATGCAGCAACCAAGTGGCCAGCAATGAAATAAATACTTCTAGAATGTTCCCTTCAGTGTGAAGTTTTATTATCTAGTTATCTTATGTGCACATAGTTTTCTGGGTACATTTCTACCAAACTCATTGGGTTAATTAAAAAATGAGAACGGGGGCAGAATGATGAAGAAAGGAATGAGAAAGTGGTTTAATGTTACGACGGTAGAAAAATGAGAGAACAAGACTGTTGTGATGTGGCTCCCACTTCCGTTCTTCATTGGAGGTAGTGGGAGGATCCGACCAGATGAAAAGTATCCACAACCAACCAGGCATCTAAAATAGAATGTGATAAATACTGTCTAATGTTATTGGGGGCACATTAAGAAAGGACACCTAATTTACTTTGGGAAGGAATGTGGTAAGAGAAGGAGAATGAGGTATTCCGGACAGAGTCAGTTGTTTGTGCAGTATCATGAGTAAAAGAGTGAGACCTGTGTTGGGGATGGTAATTAGCTTGGTTCAGCTTAACTCACTGGGTAAGTTTGGGCAGTTGAGACTTGAAGAAGAACCCGACTGGTAAATCGTAATAAAAAGACTTGTCTACTACGCTAAGGAGTTTAGACCACACTAATGTCAGCAAGAGATGGCATCAGATTTACGGTTTCAAATGATCATTCTGGCCAAAGCATAAAAGATGTATTAGGGATAAGCCTGAAAGTAGGGAGATAAAAACTGAGGAGCCATCAAAGGTAGACTGAGGCATAGGAGGCAGGTTTCCAGCGATTTTCAAGAAAAGAGTTATTATCCCAGGTACCAAATAAATTTAATTTTGACATAATGTTGTCTTTGGAGCTTATATCTCACATTCACCTGTTGAAGTAAGTTACTGTTTACACCGTATGAATGAAGAAACTTCACAAAGGATACTTCTCTTGAGGCATAGAAGAGTTAGTGATTTGCCCCAAGTTGCAGAGCTAGAAAATGATGGAGCTGAAATTTGAACCTAAGCAGTTTGACTCCAGAATTTGTGCTTTTCTCCACTACCCTATACCACTGAGAGATCAAAATAAGTACCAAAAATGTATTTTGAATTTTATAGTTAAGGAACTTCATCGTGCAGGCAGAGATCATTCAGGGGAGTAGGGCAGAAGTCAGGTTGCAGTGGGTTGAGGATTGTGTGAACCACTAGGAACTAAAGGCACGGAACTAATTTTACAAAGTAGCTTTTCTGGTTGTCATGACACTGAACTTCCTAACATGCCTTTATTAAGAAATCTCACAAATGTTAAAGTGTAATAATATTTGGCACATTGTACGTACATCTGTTCATTTAAATGTCTAGTGGTTATTAAGCTTTCTGGAAAACCTTGAAAATTTGATGAAAGGTATGTGCCTTTACCCCCAGAAAAATGTTCAGTGTACGTACATGCATGCATTGATGCATGCATACTGTGGGTATTCAGGAACTCCACAAAGCCTCCTCATGATGGTAGTGCTCCATGATCCCCAGTTAGGAGCTCCCCAGATACGTAAGAGTGGAACTCAAAGGTAAGTCTCTAGAAGCCTTGAAAACTGTCCAGCTATGGTGACTTGGAAGAATTCTACAGTTTGAACTAACTTTGTGGATGAGATGTATTCTTGAGAAAGTGTGTACCCTACCCCCAAATTCTATCAAATATTTTCCTGTAATGCATTCAGGGATCTGGTTCCATAGAAAAATTTTTAAAAATTTGGTTCCAGTTCCTCAAAATCACATTTAAGGATCTTAAATTTTACGTTTTCTACTTTTATCACTAGGAAGTCTTGCAAAAGCAAATGAAAACAAATGGATAATCATTCCTGCATGCGCAGTATTAAATAATACATGTGTAAGAAAACATTTTATCACTTAAATTCCCATCTTCTTGGGAGTTTTCATAACTAAGGGCTTAAATGTTGGTGACCACACAGGTAAGGCTTTTGGTTGGTGTAATTGACGGAACTGACAGCCCCACCAGGTTGTCTTCAGACGGCTCAGCAAGAAGGCGAAGAGCAATGGTTGTGTAGGTGTTAGTACTATAATTGCGCATTAACTGATTGGACCCAGTAGCTTGTACTGTAAAGGTCCCCAAAGAACGATTTATAGGATGTGTGACCTAGTTTGAAATAGAATGGGCAAATTGAGTCTGACATCCTATTCTTTTTATTTTTTAGTAGGCTCCACACCCATCGTGGGGCGTGAACTCAGGACCCTGAGATTGAGTCACATGCTCTACCAGCTGAGCCAGCCAGGCGCCCCTACATCCTATTCTTTCTACAGACACGATTGGCCCAACAGTATAAAACTATCGCAAGCAATTTAATCACTCAGTTCTAGTTAAGTTTATTTCAAGTGCTGAACCTGAATCCATATTTTAGATTAGATTTTATTACTCTCCTTAAAAAATTTACTTCTCTGTCATTTCTCCCTTTGTACCTTTTTAATATTTTTGGCTCTTGAGTTCTTGTTTGCTCTTTTTCATCCTTGTTTTTTATTCATCTTATTTTATTTGGTCCTTTACGTTTTCACTTGATCTCAATGTTAATTCAACATTTTTCTACATCTGATTCACTTAAAGTTAAGCAAAATGATTTTCAAAAAACAAACCCCTTTTTTTTCTATGTCCTTTCGCCTTTTTCTCTGCCTCCCCATTGTTTCCCCTCACTTCTTTATCCTTTTCCATTTTAGTTCATTTCCCTAGGTGCTGTTTTTGCTCAGGAGTTAATGTAAGGCTACGACTTTACTTCTGTAATCGAGAACTTCAGAATCAACTTATATTCACTCTGGTTTTAGATCTTAAGTTTATTTTACCTTTTAGTGATTTTATAATACACAGTATTCTCTTACCAGTTAATACAGCTATGCCTCTGCTTTGAGATACCCCTTTATAAAAAACCTCAAACATTTCAAGAATTCAAGAACAAGCTCCTCTAGTTTGTCTCCTGTATTTAGGGCTTCAACTATCATTGTATTACTGGTAACTCCAAAAATACCTGTCTGTCCTCAAACTTGAGGTCCAGGCCCCAACTTTTTTGCTGCTTATTGGGTATCTGTATTTGAATAGCCCATAAATTCTTCAGTGCATCTAAAACATTACTTCCAGCCCGGTACTCTCAAAGTAAAACCTGACCTCTGCTTCCTACTGTAGTTCTAATTTTTAGACCTCACCTGCCACCCCTACAAGTCATGAATTGCATTTGTCTCTTCTGTTTTCTCCTTTCACCTCTCCACTGTTAACCAAAATCTAGTTCTCATAACCGCCAAAATATTTCTCATCTATGACTTTCTTTCCTTTTGGCCTTAGATTCAAACTCTCATTAGCTTTAATTGGGCTCTTGCAGTGGACTCCTTACTACTTAATACACGTCCCTCTTTAACTCAGTACTACCATGTTAATACCAGAAATTTTCTTAAAGAGCTCATCGTACCCCTATTTCCTTTGGTAATATCACCAGTTTGCTTTCATAGTCTGGCCCCACTGTATCATTCCAGACTCTCTTGCCATTCCCCATCACCTCTTGTTTCAGTCCCAGTGAATTTATCTAGCCTTCTCTAAACAGTCAAGCACTTTATCTTTGCCCCGGCTCATTCATGCCTTCTCCCCAGACTTTTTGTGTGTGTGTGTGTATGTACCTTACCCCTATCCTTTTCACTTTCAGTCTACTAAAGTTCTGCTCATCTTTCAAAGACCCAGCTCTATAGTCTCCTTTGTAGATCCTTCCTAACATTTTCACATCCTCCCTAACATTTTCACATCCTCCCTCCCACCAACCTGGGAGAAGCTATGGATTCATCCTCTCATAGCAACTTGTTCATATTTCTAGTGTAGAACCTACAAACTTAAAATACAGTGTGCTCTTGTCTCCGCTGTATAGTTCGTGAGGTCCCTGAGGTAGATACCAGTTGTTATTCATGTGTATTTAAATCCTTGGAACTTGATGCAATGGCAGACATGGAGGTACTAGGCAAATATTTGCAGAATGACTAAACTGACCTAAAAAATTTATGCACAGGTTTTCTGGAAATGGGCTGCTCTGTTAAGTCATGGATATACACATATTTTGAATGAAAGGAGAAAGCCAAAGTAGGATAAAGTAGTATCGGCTTAATAAGGGATGGAAAGAGGAGCTCCTGGGTGGCTCAGTCAGTTAGGCATCTGACTCCGTTTCGGCTCAGGTCATGATCTCAGTGTTGTGATATCAAGCCCCGCAACGAGCCCCGCATCTTACTCGGCGATAGGTGTGGAGCCCGCTTGAGATTCTCTCCCTCTCCGTCTGCCCCGCCCCCCCAAATAAGGGATGGGAAGGGGAAAAGGCAAATGAAAAAGAACAAAATAAAGGAACAACAGGAAGATTCTAGCAATATATGGTGAACACATTGGAGAAAAGGAGAGATAATTCGGCAAATGAAATTGATTCTTTAGGGCAGAAACAATTGGAAGGTAAGGTGAAGAGGGAGAAGAAATAAAGATGTGGAGACAAATTTGACTTGAAGAGAAAGTACAAAAGTCAAATAGACTGGCAGATCTCAGTCTGGAAATGTTTTCAGTTGGCCACAGGCATCATGCTTGTATGTTGTGTGGATATTATTAAGCGAGCTTTTTCATGTCACTTAACCCCTTGCCAAATTGTCATCTGAAAAAGTGACTCCAAGATAAATACCTTGACCACCATGCCAGATAAAGTAAGACGTATTTTACCACGCTAGAGTTAAGAAACTGGTTTGGGGCGCCTGGGTCGCTCGGTCAGTTAAGTGTCCAACTCTTGATTTCAGCTCAGGTTATGATCTTGGTCGTGAGACTGAGCCCCGTGTGGGCCTCTGCGCTCAGTGCGAAGCCTGCGATTCTCTCCCTCTGCCCCTACCCCCCCTTGCGTGTGCTCTCTAAATAAATAAATAAATAAATAAATAAAATCTTAAAAATAACCTTAAAAAAAGAAACTGGTTTAAGGCTTAGTTGTGACCAACTGATGGCAGTTTGCGAACTTCTCCTAGTGATTCCCTTGCAAGTAGTGTGGGTAGGCAGTGAGGTTTGTTGGGCTGGGCATGCAGAGGCA